CTCGCAGTGCTTAGACAACTCAAAGGGGCTTCTTCAGTCTTACTATAAGCCCATCATGTTTAAAGTTAGGGCACACCACAAGTTCCAAAACCACACCATGGAATCCGCTTGCCCTCGGAGTCTAAATCCCTTTTACCTTAAGCCCTGTTGAAGACCAAACCTTAAAACCTCAAACCTTGAAATGTGACCCTTAAACCTAAAGGAAAAGCCCGAAACTTCTGCCAGGGGTCTCATGATCCGGTGGTGCCGGTGGTGGCGGTGGGGCGCCCTGGGCACACAATGTACCCTCTCAGATGCCCTAAGGTCCTCGTAAACAACAAAATCTCCCACGTATAGATGCTTTAGGCCCAGCTTTGCTACTTTTTGGGTATATAATAGGGCCCTTAGGGAAACACGAATGGACATGCAAAAAGTGGCGTATAACCACTCAAGCAAACTTGGAGGGGGCCTTGCTCTTTCGGAGGAAGACGTCAGGGAATGAGTTCAATAGGGATGAGACCGGGCCATTTCGTGAACCACCTACTAGGGACTGCACTCAATTTGGGGTAGAAGGTTACTAAAGTCAGAAGTGACCTTCATCCACAGGGATTCTGCGATATGATCTGATCGACCAGCATACCTGGAGCGGGCTTCCCCAATGAACTACCTTTGGTGGACAAAATCCTGTGAGACCCTACATACACAACCCCGAGAGTTGTGGTGGTATACCTTACCATTACCTACAGTCATGCCAACTTTTCCCAGCATAAGATGAAAGGCCCAGGTAAGCTCTACAATGGAATTTGTCTTTTGGCGCCCAAAGCCGCGCAATAATGTTGCCATGTAGTTCCAAGCCCACGCGTTTTTTGCTAGACTCCCCATAGTAGGATGCCAAATCTTGGACTCCAAACCCCAAACTTCCCCAACAAAAGATTAGGACAGTCCAAGTTGGAGTCCAAGGGGGCCTTATAATTATCAGGGAGAGTTTGAGGGAGTCCTCTTCAACCTGTGGAGATCAGAGATGAAATGTGAAGTGTAAAGGACCCTGGGTCAAGCTCTCCTGGGGTGCAGTGTGAGTGGGGTGGTAATGGGCGAAGTACACCATTTCCTCAAAACCTTGAGTCCTATACACAGGCAAAGTGGACCATCTCTTTACAACTAAACTTAGTGTAAACCATCCCGTAATCAATGAAGGCCAGGAAAAAGTTATTGACAGACAAAAACCCAGACCTCGAACTCTACATCCTAAACCCTAGACACTCTAGGCCCCTACAAGTACCCTAAAACCTAATCCTTAACCAAATCCTGAGTCATGTTCCGGAACTTAGCGCATGAACGTTCGGGGCGGGGGGAGGGGAGGGGGCAAACACAGCTCGGAATTCTTCAAGGCTAATGACAACTTGCTGCATCCTCCATGTTCTGTCTCAGCTTGCATGATGATACTGCAACTTTGCGGTAAGATCTGGTTACGAACTTGGCCACACATGGCGCACGGCCAGTATGAACTCCTCTTCCATAACTACTCTCGTCCTTAGTCGTCCTGATAATAATAGAACTTGCCAACACACATGTACTCTCTGCGTCTATTGGTATGTTCAATGCCAGTTTGAAACATGTTGTGATTAAAGTGCCGAAGTCTCCATACTTCGGCTCCTGGGCTTGCAGTTTTGAATGCAGAAAAGCTGCCCGCGCGAGAACTGGCGCAGGTGCCGGCCTCATCTATGTGATCATCTTGGGGGGCTTCTGAGAAAGGATGTAAGGAACAAAGAAAAAGAATATTAGTAGTATATTCGTAACAGTAGTAATAATAACTATGATAACAGTAACATGAATGGTCGTAATACTAAAATAATCATGTCCTAATAGAGATTATGGGAAATAATAGTCATTGTTGCCGGATAACAGCAAAACACTTGTTCGTAAACATAGCAATGGAAGCATCCAATGGACGGCGTACGTCCCCTTGTGGACTGCGAAAGATCATGTAAAAAGACGTCTCTCCATACCGTACCGGTTGGGGAGCTTGTCAGCAAACTTCTGTAGAGGGGAGCATGTATATGGACGTATCTACGGATAGATATACACAGGGTCGCTGAGTTCCACAAAATATACCCTTAGGGACCCAAAGGAACGATGGGGTGCCTACCAACTGTAGTGGGGCCCCTCCTCGAGTTTGCCTGAATTCCCCTAATTGGCCTGCTATATTGCGCCAAATAATCTTCTGGGAACTTTCGCAGGTAGTGCCTCGGGATATAACCTCCGTTAAAAAAACACACACACCTAGCATTGAAAACTCGCCATACTTCCACTCTATAATAGGGCCAGCATATACTTTTGGAGGAGTGGGTAGGCTCCTGTAAAAAGCAGCCATGCCACTGCTTGAGGCGCATCTTTTCTGATTTCAATTCCGCGGGTCATCTCTCCCAGTGCTTTTGCGAACGGGTCTACAGGTCTTCACGAGTGAGATGCAGTCTTCTCAGGAGTTTGGACGTGTTTTGCGCAACATGTCGGGTTAAACATAGTTTACTTTCAAACAGACACGGTTATATGCATTTATGTAAGGCGTGCACACACGTAAGAAGATCCCACGTAGTGGCAAACTCATGTTACAACGTCCTCCGCTCAAGCGTTCCTCTGTTATTTGCACGAACACACGGACGCGGAAACACAAATTGCCAACAGATGGGCGACAGGAAGAGCCGGACACCCTAAACAGTTTGTAGTTCACCTTCTTACTTACCCTCAGAACCCTCGTCCTATACCTTTCCACAGCAGGTGCCTAAATCGTTAAGTTAATTATCATATCATTTGGGGACCCTACACTGAACAAATACAGGGAATCAAGGACCATGACGTTGGAATCGCATTACGCCCAAACCCTACGCATAAGTCTTGTGGTCCTGAGACAACCCTAAACCCTCAACCCTGAGAGGCCACCTCGCACTCAGGCCTGGGTGAAACGCGGAGAAGAGTCTTCAACTGCTCCGCAAGCTTCCTACAAAAAAGATGTCTCACTCCCCTGCCTGGGTTTAGCTCCCCTATGGTTTTGGAGATTCCTGGGCTCTTTAGCTCCCCTTATTATACTGATATGGACTATCCCTAGCTCCTTAGCTCCCCCCCAAAAGTATGGGTAGTTAGGGTTTAGGTTTGAAAAACACCCCTGTCTCACATTTTCTGTGCAAGCCCCAAGGCTATCTGGGGGTTAGCGTTTAGGGAGTAAGGTTGATATACCATGTTCCTGAGGTGGACCCCCCACCCTGTAATGGTGACTATAAGGGGTAATGGTGATTATGTTGTTAGGGTCCTTTTATGTTCCTTTTATACCACTGTTACAAGGTGGGTGTCCCGTTAGTATCGCTGCGGCTCCAAGTCTATAATAACAGTAGCATGCAACAGCTACATTGGGACCGAAAGTCTGAAACAATTCTTTGTGGATCCCCAGAATTATGATTATGAGAGGGTTAAAAAGAACCAGCTGCATGGGAGACCTGTTAAACATCCATACAAGCGTCATCTATCCGCAAGGTTCCTGAAGAGCACCCTTTCATTTTCCACTTCCTTGTCTATTTGATTCTACATGAAGGGGGTAAGATTCCTGAACAAAGTAGGCCTTGTATGATCCTTCTACAGCTCTATGAAGGCTAGGCAATGTCAGTGTACGGGTCTTGAACCATACCATAAACCTTGGGACCTAAGCCCGCTTTGCGGATGGCAGGGTTTCCTAAGAAGTTAAAAGGATGATTCAGAAATGATCTATGGGTTAGGGATTAGGAGGGGTGGATGGGATTCAGGGTCTAAGGATAATATCTTATCATGGAGAAACACATGGAAAAGACAATGAAAAATGACATGGAAACCGAGCTGATGCAGGGACCTGGGGCTTTCGGGGCCATGTACCTACGCAGCATAAGTGTCATCCATCTCACAAGTTGCAGGGGACTATAGCACGCTACCTGGTGAATTTACATTTTCCGTGCCTACCATGTAAAAAGAAGGACCCACGCATTGAGCAGAGTGTCATCTTATAGGGAAAGTTGCGAGGAAATGCTCTTCATGTAATTCCTTTCAGTCTCAGTAAAACTCCGTCATCCACTACTCTAAGACATGGTCGTGCTCTGCCCCATTATGGCATGCAAAGGCTATCTCTCAGTATCAAAACTGCTCCACATCAGCCGCTGTTTGGCGCAACCTAAAACCTAAACATAAGATCTGAAATGTCCAGCTCATAGCACCCAACAGCCACGCGGTAACCCTCGTCATGCCCATTGCTAACCTACTTCTTAAAATTGCCCTGACCCTACACCCCACATAAAGAATAATGTGGTACAGTAGTTTCCGTTTTCCTGTCTACGCCCTCTGCTAAGACATATGCCCAAATGTCTAGTACAAGCAAGGCAGGAGAGCTCGCTGCGATAAGGAACATCCTCTTTGACTACAGCAAACTGGCGGGCACAGGCTCCCACTGAATGGCGTTTGGATGTTAATGCGTGAAACAGGGAGTGCTGTATTCTTCTTGTAGGGTATTGCCAAACACATAAGCATGTAATCTTGTTCCTCTGGCCGGCGGCATTACCATCACTAATAAAAATCTACGTACTCTCTTGCGCTCTCCACGGGCTAGTGTGTAGGTAGGTGTATTCCCAAAGCCATAACTTCAAGAGGCTGCCGGTTATAACATTGTCATGTGTTGAGAGTGTCCCTCCAGATTTTCGGGTGTGCGTGCGTGTGTAGAGGCCTTGGGCTTTCAGGATTCAAGGACCTACACAATTTGCTTTGAGTAGCCGCCTCGTGCCCGCTGCAGCCAGAAAATCCCGAAGCGCAACAACCCTGTGGGTCCAAGTAGCCAACCATGGGGTTTTAGCATCCAAGTAGCCGGTCAGCTTGAGGGTTTGAGACAAAAACCTCATGATTTGAGCACTTGGACCCTTAGGGCAAGGAAAGCAGAGAGACGGCAACAAAGTGCCGGCCTGACATGCATATCAGGAGGGCTTCTCCAATTAGAGACGAGCGCAAAAACGCCTTTAGCCCTCCTGACTCGGATGACCTGTAGACCGTAGGGAAGGCAATGAGTGGCTCGACTGAAGGACTTTTGCACTGAAGAGGTCGTTCCTCATCCTTAGTTCGGGCAGGCAGGGTCTAAACACGGGGCTCCCCACATAAGACTAACCCTAGGGATCCAAGTATACAAATAATACCTACATTGGGCCTCAAGGTCTGTAAATATTACCTAC